TGCTTGCGTTATAATTCAAATACATCCTCACTGCTCAGGAATTAATAATAAATGCTCCAGCCTGATGTTTTTACGACAGGCCATTCACGACGCTGCCGGATAAGCCTGATAGCTTTAATTGCAGTATTAATGTCTTTTCCAATACCCTCATCTAAAACAAACCCTCCTAGGTTACGTAGCAATAAAGCCACGGGGTTTATCCAGAGTTAGTTTACTAAATTATATTACGAGATTTCATACGTCACTGTGTAATACTGACTTCATGCAACTAAAATTGAAACTTAAATCTGATTTATGAGGTGGATTTACTCTAGTGATAAGAAAACACTACTTTTCTACTAATGTATTATGATTTGAGCACAATGGCACGAACAGAACTGCTGGCCTGCAATTTTTGCCATCATCTAGTAGCTGGCCAGGATTGAAGTAAACAAGATGCCTATGGGCAATTCTCTGAAGATTTAATCATCATCAAACTTTTCTTGTTGTACTTCTGCAGACAACCGGAAATACCATCACATGAGAGAAATGTAAGGTTTATTTCCAAGCAGCACCTCAGTATTGTCGCACTGACCCAGAGACCTAACAATAACCATGTTAGTGCTGACCATTTAAAAAAGAAAATAATTTTTGTTTTGGGTCAAGCCTGGCCCAGAAATCACCCATCCCTATTTCTGCTCTGATCTGCTGGTTGTAGCAACTTTTATTTCATTTCTTAGTGTTTTCACTGTGTACTGTTTCCTTAGTGAAAGGAAAATTAAGTGCCAGGAAAAAAAGAACCATACAGACATACTTACACTATAAAAAAGTAACTGGACTTTTATGGCCTTTCTGAGAAAGGTGACCGCTTTCCTGCTGGTCTATTCTGCTGCTCTTTTGGTTTTAGGATTTTTATTTTGTTGTTTTAGTTATCTGAGGCCTAGCATTACTTCTGCCGAAACTCCTGAATTTCACTTGGAGGAAGATCTGTTTTCCAGTATAAAAGGGAAGCGGAATGAACATTTATACATCCATTTCTTTTTACAGAACAGAAGGAAAATGGACCAACTGCAGGCTTTGCTGAATGACAGTCTTATCAGAACAGAGCATGTGGAAAACGCAGCTATCATCGACATAAAGGAAAGGAAAGTCTGTGCATCAACCTTTGGCTTTAATGTAAGAGATCAAAGAGCACCCTGGGAAGTGACAGCAGAGGTAGAAACTCTGGGAATCTAGAGGACAAAGTAGTGATAATGGCAGGGAGTGCTGCGCTCTACTAAATACACTTGCTTCTTTCAGCCTTGGAGCCCAAGTTACACAGGCACAGCCTAGCTGCTGTGTTGAGAGGCTAACTTGCAAAGATGATTGCTAATTTCACATCTTTGATTTTTGGAAGAAAGATGACATTTAACTGGCATTTTGAAGGAGTCCTTTTTAACCACTTTGCACTCAATAATTCTGCTGGTAAAGCAGATGTACGTAGGGTCCATTCCCTGGCACAGAGACCTGCTGGTGTGGAATAACCTGTGCCCATACTATAACCCCCACCAAGCAGGGTGGCTGTACCAGGTTGCCTGTGGCAAGCGATCCTGGGCCATTCTAATTTTGCAAACTGTGCGTGGGAATTGTTTGGGAAAGTGCTTGCAGGCCCAAGACAAAACTGTATCTGGACTGTTCTGACAGTATTCAGAACTGCTCCCTGGCACCTTACATTTTCTGGTATAGATGTAGCTTATCTGTTTTCATTGTCCACCAGCTGATAAACAGCAGAA